AACCCCCATTTTTTCAGTAGAGGTTTATCTGCTTTGCATCTACACTGCTTTAAAGTTGGCAAAAAGTGTAAGGTGATGACACTCCATGGCACAAACATACCAATATACACAAAGAAATCATGTTGTGTATTTTTCCACCGATCCGTAATTAAATAAAGGCTGTAATCTGTGCAGGAATGTTTTGCAGATCATGAAACAACATGTGTGGTTAATTTGCCTATATGTGAATGTAATGATCGCTAATAATTAAACAGCCACAGTTATCACTTTTCCCTTACAGCAGCAGGGATGGTCCTTAAAAAGCGTCTTTACAAATTTCCTCCACCAGTTTCCTTCAACCCAAAACATACCTGTAGGGTGCTGTAATACGGTTTACGTTGGTTGCTGGTCTAGTTAGTAGGTCCATTGAAGAAAGCCTAGCTGCCATATAGGCAGACTTCTTCCTTCCACTGATGCTTTCTTATGGGCAAGCAATATGATGGGCTCGTCAGGCCAATAGACGTAATTGCTAGTAAGGGGCAGATCAGAGTAGCAACAATGCAGGATGTATCTGTGAAGGAAAGAAAGGACATCCAGGCGGCCACTGCTGAGCTCTTCTTGACATGCTAGTCTCCTGGTTGTCTCTGGCTTAATTATAGTCTAAGTGAGTGAGCTAGAAGATGTATGCAAACCAGTGAGCTCAGAATTTCTCATTTGCATAATTGTTTTCGATAAAGGAGTGTTGAAGCTACTGGCTCAGCATGACAGCGATAAAAACTTGTGTGGGAAAAAAAAGGTCAGTAACGGCAACCTAAAACATTCTCAGAGCAGTTTATTTGGTCTTCCACACCCATGCTGCGCATTGCATACAACAGGATTTACAGCAAGCAATTGCAAAGCCCTCTGCAAGCTTAAAACAGCTTTTATTAATGCTCATAAAGCACATTTTAGCTCCAGTTTGGATCCAGCTGGCTATCATTGTAATCAAGGTGCTAGCAAGCTTTCAACATGTTTATAGTGCTGAAGCTAACGGAAAGCCTATTGAAGCAGCCATCAACATGTTTAGGTCTTGTTCACACCATGTCCATTAAAGCTGTGTTTTTCTGCACACCACTGCACACGTATGGTGTGAAAACAATTGTTCCCCTTGCTCCCTGTTCTTGTTCGAACCAAACATGTGCGGTCATGTGCAGACAAACGCAACTCAATGGACATGGTGTGAACAAGCCCTTAAAATAACAGTCAGCACCCTCACTGAGATCTGCATTTTACACCCCTAAACTAGGGCGCTTTAAAAAAAAAAAAAAAAGCTGCTTGAAACTTGCTGTACACACTGCTCAGATGCAAGCAGAACGTTTCACAACTCTTTAATCTACATACAAAACAGTTATTGCTTGGCATTAACAGAACTCAAACAACATCAAATCTAGGGATCCAATTTATTGGTTACTTACATTTATTGATGTACATACATCAGTTTGCAAATCTAAATATTTTACATTCAGTAGCAGTTCCCCTGAATTGTATAATCTTGACAGATTAAATCTTTAAGTCCGACTGTCTTTAGTCTCTCTGAACAAAAAACAAAAAAAAACCATGGAGAGTCTGGATCAAAGAACATACCTCAAGAAGTGTCTAGATACCTTGCCAACAGCCATACAATATAAAAACAGGCTAAGTGAACATGGGCATTATTCAGTGGGCCCCGACTTGCTTTGAGCACGTGGTGTCGAATGGAACTCCACTTACACATCTAGTAGGAGTCATTGAGCTTCGGAATGACAGTAGTAACGCTGGCTATACACCAGTAACATTTCATTAGAAAAAAAAATGTGTTCACAGAACGTTTATTCAATTTTCTAACAGCTAATAGGGTCAATGGCGATCTATTTTGAACGCAGTGACAAAAAAAAAATAATTTGCATGAACGATCATTTGAAAATCTACCAGTGTATGTCCAGCTTTACCGGCATAGGACAGTAGAACAAACCTCCAATTTCCTTCTGTTACTGAGGCCAGGAGCCCATCTTTACCAGGGCTGCACTACAGGAGTCAGATGAAAATAAGTGGCACAGGCTGACTGAAGGCTGCATTGTGTACACTTAGCCTAATTTAGGGAATATATATAGATAGATATAGATCTATATCTATATAGCATTGTCTTTACAACATGGGTGCAGTAAGCAGTGGTGACTTCACACTGAGCTGCATTCTCTATTCTACTTATTTGATTATACCATATTCTGGCTGAAAATGCAGAAACTTGTTTGTGTGAGATTTGCATTTCCAGACACAAATGTATACTAAAACAAGCATAGATATGTCCTGAGTGACATTCAAAACTGCAGCCATGTGGTGATTACATATAATAAGTCTCCACATATTCTTGCAGTAAGGGTTTAAAAGGAGAGTCCCAGGCTAAATTAAAGACCGATGCTTCTGATCCCTCTACATAGCAATACAGGGGATGATTATTTCTACTCTACCTAAAGTCTAGGTGCAATAACTATGAGGCAGCTCGTGTGTTTTAGAAAAATACAATTTAGGCCTTAATTAACAAAGCACATTACCTGCTTCCTATTTAAATTCCTTACCAGAACTTTGCCCTTTTCTTCACAGAAAACAGTATTAGGAACCCATCCAAATGTTTACCTGTTAAACTAAGCCTTCAATCATAAGTGTGTATAGAACATTCCTGTATCTAAAAGGCTGTGCAGCAAGACCAGGTTTCATCTGCAGGTGGCGCTACAGAAAAGCAAAGTATTAGTAAAATGGGAGAGGGACACCTTGTATGACTCCAGCATAAAGCTGGCCATACACCTATAGATTGTCTGCAGACTTTCTATGGTCAGATGGAAAAAGTGCAACAGATTCCTCCATCTACCCTAAACGGTGTGGATAGAGGAATCTCCCGCTGGGCCAAGCTTTAGTATCTTGCTAGTCAGCCTGCTGGCTCTCTAAATACCTGAACAATGCCGGCATCCAATCAGATTGTTCAGGTATTTTGAGTGCCAGCGGGGCCGACTAGCAAGATACTGAAGCCTGGCCCAGTGGGAGATTCCTCCGTCCACACAGTTTAGCGTAGATGGAGGAATATGTTGCAGTTTCCATCTGACCATAGAAATTTGCAGATGATCTATAGGTGTGTGGCACTCTTAAGAAGCATTGCTTACATTTTAAATTAGCCTAGGGAACCTGTGTAATATAACAGCTTCCGGGATGCAGGGGAACTACTAGATATGGCCAGGCCAAATGTCAGTTTCAATGTGAAAGGATCCTTGGAGGATTAAAGGCAGGAGTGAATTTAGACTAAGTAAGGGTCTCTTTTGTTTTTTTTTAAGGTTTGATCTTATAGACATCAGCGTCTATATTTACTTCTGTTAGCTTTCGGACTTCTACAAAATGTTTACAATCATTCCTAAAATAGTTTCCCTCAGATTCAAATTTATTAAGCATAACAAATATTAAAGCATTTAACATGCTCCATTAAAAAAGAAAAAAACATTCTGATGACATGTATGCCGTATCTACAACTGAACATTATCCTATCATCCACTCACTTTTGGATTTGTTACACAATATAAATATGTATATATAATGCTTTCTTTTTTATATATGATTTTCTATTTAATTAGCATTTTTTATTTTTACATAAAAGACCAGAAATCTCTGAAGCATAAATAATGCAAAAATGAACAGTTTGCATAGTTTCCAAACTGCAACATCTGAAATAAGCAACATAATTCCATTGTATTCACAAAGCTTTCATACCAGAGACCGAAATGGAGGAGGATGCGGGCACGCGAGTATCGTCACCTTCATGTTTGGGAATCAGAGAGATGTAACGCAGAGTAACACAATCAGACAAAACATCGGTTGTCGCAGCTCTTGTGTACAGGGAGGCCAGGCAGAGTAGTTCATGTCCTCATTCTCCCATCCCTACTCTGCGCAGTGGCTGTCTGTGTGAACAGGAATTCTACATTTGCATAGAGAATACATTATTTCTATGTGATATTCTGCTTTAGGTTTCTCCCCAATTCCAAAACTGAACTGGAAAAAAGGGACAGGGCAAACATACTGGTGCGCACACAGCCTCATCCACACACACACAAAAAACATACATCCTATGGGCTTGTCTACACCAGCTTTGTTTTCACTCCCTTCGTTCCAAAAAGAATAGAAATACAGAACATGGCTGGGGAGACGACAGGCAAACCCTGCTCTGCATACAGCATACGTATCTTAGAAATCAAGAGATTGACCTACCTACAGCATAGCCTGAAGTACATTTGGACTAGCCCTAAAACACATAATTTGACAGAGAGGACAGGACCTTAGTTACAATCTAACAAGGACAGATTTGGAGTCAAAACAAACATTCATCAGATAAACGGACATCTGCCAAGGTCTTGATGCGATTTTGGTTCTACCAAAAGGAGACAAAAAACTATAAAAAAAGAAACCTTACATGTCTGTTTGAGGACTAATGGAACATTTAAAACAATTAATCATAAAAAAGAACTAATCTGCCCTAGTAACAAGAGACATGGTCATTTTGTATGCTAAAACCAATTAATCCACAGTTAAATAATTCCCACTTGCCTCACAAGTGCTTGGTCATGAGGTACATCAGAGAAGTCCATGGATGTGACCAAGCTGCATTTTCATGGTCAGCACTCAAAATGGCATCCCTGTTCCCAGAAAACACCCTCACCATCAATGAAAGTTCAATTATTATGTACTCTGCACAGGACATAAGAAGCCCAACATGACAGTCAAAGCAGCAGTATTTAAGTCCTCTGAATGAAGATGAGCGTAGGGGGTAAGTTGAGGGTATTATGTCAGTGCCAATTGCCTTTGTGCCCATACCCACCAATCCATCGGTCAACATGTCTGGATTCCAATATCCTGCAAATCCCTCTGCATAGGTGCTGAAGACCCCATTTAGTGCTTTGAGCCAACGACTTAGAAGTGGGAGCTGCAGGATGATGGGACCTTGAAGTGCTTTGTATGAGGAGGGGGACAGCAGTGACAATGTTCAGGCAATACCCTCATCTTACCCCTTCCACTAAATTACACTAAGTGGAAAAAAGTGTTTAAAACAGTAAAACAACCATTAAACATTGTGTATTTTTTATGACACTAAAACAAAATAGTTAAAAGCAAAACCTATAGTACAAAAATATTATCTGGGTGTCAGGAGCCCGCAATTTTACAATTTTAGTGACATTCAGAAAGGTTTGTAAACTTTATGTACAGTACACATTCACCTTTACAATTTGTTTTTGCTCATGTCAGGTACAGTACACATAAGTTAAATGTTCAGAACATGTTTATATAGCTACAAACGTATAGATATATAAACACATCTATAAATGAAAAAAAATAAAATAATAGTTCTGCATGCGGTTTGGTCAGGTCCATCTTTAATCATCATGGGCAGCACTCGTTCCTCTTACTTGACCTTGGTTGCGTAGCTGTGTAAGGAGATAAAGAAGTACGATAATTAAAACAAGCTCCATATAACAAGTCAGTTAAAGTGATGAAGCTCGGATATATTGTGAGAAAATGGAATGAGAAGATTAGTATGTCACAAAGCAAAGCTGCGTTTAAATAAGGGCTGCAAAAGCATGGTGGTTCAGTCATTGACGGCACTGAAAAAAGTTTCAATAGCATTTGGTTTTGTCCGATGTGGACATTACACAGCAAGTTTTCCAGCTCTCCCCTATCAACCCTGACAAAATTACTATGTCGGTAATCCTGAAACTTGTGATCCTACCTGGAAGAAGTCTGAAAAACCTGACTGAGGACCAGACAAACACTGGCCTGTAAGGAAGCTGGATACGTTATGGTAGACAACAGCAATATGGTAGGGGGATTGAAAAAGTTACTATACATCATGATAGACGTAAGATATCTATGATGATAACCATGTGATGAAGAAACAGCTTTGTGTAGGGCTCATCTTGGAGAATAGCTAAAATAGCAAAGCCGACTTGTACACAACTAGAAAAAGTACAAACAGTTTGAGTATAGATCTTTTGGTGACTTAAAAGCAGAACCTTGCATCAAATCTCAGCCCACTCCCCCATGCCACAATGCTACAAATCCACTGTGAAATGAAAAATTGACCCATAGAGAGAAAAAAAAGAAGATAAATATAGCACTGAAGAGTATGACGGCACCACCCTGGGAACAATGAGGATTCCAAATCCCATGAGAATATGCTTCTGCATGGAGCTGAAGCATCTTCTTGTGAGACTTAAGATAACCAAACCCAGGATTTCACCAGATGGATACCCGCTGATTTCACCCACTCCAGTGCACACGTCATGCAGAATGTAAGTATGATTTTAACCTTTCTCTGCAGGCTTTTTCTTATAAAGTGGATTGCGGCATTTTGGATCGTAGAGGTGGGCCAGTATTTACTAAGAGGACCTTCAGGTTTAAGGTCTGCTTTAATGGCTATTACTGCCACGTATGGAAGAGTAATCTATTGTCACATAGTGAATGAACTACACCAAAATTTGGAACAGCCTCAAGGATCTCAATAAATCACAAAAAGCAAACAGGTAAGTAATGTGAAAAAAAGTGTAGTAGGGCAGGCAGAAGGATACAAGGTTCCACAGAACCATGCAGTAATGTGAGGGAATATAGTAGGGCAGGCAAAAGATACAAGGTTTTACAGACGTGTACAGTAATGTGACAAAAGTGTAGTAGTGCAGGTAAAAGATACAGGGTTCCACAGAAGTGTGCAGTAATGTGGACTGTAGTAGGGCAGGCAGAAGGACACATGGTAAAGTGTGCAGTAATGTGGACTGTAGTAGGGCAGGCAGAAGAAGGATACAAGGTTCTACAGAAGTGTGCAGTAATGTGAAGAGAGTGTAGTAGGGCAGGCAGAAGGGGGATACAAGGTTCTACAGAAGTGTGCAGTAATGTGAAGAGAGTGTAGTAGGGTAGGCAGAAGGAGGATACAAGGTTCTACAGAAGTGTGCAGTAAATGTGAAGAGAGGTAGTAGGGCAGGCAGAAGAAGGATATAAGGTTACACAGAAGTGTGCAGTAATGTGAAGAGAGTGTAGTAGGGCAGGCAGAAGGAGGATACAAGGTTCCACAGAAGCATGCAGAATTGTGAAGGAAGAGAGTGTAATAGGGCAGGCAGAAGTATACAAGGTTCTACAGAAGTGTGCAGTTTGAAAACCAGGAAAGGATTTAACCTGCACCATAGACTGGAGTGATATCTGAAGAAATAAAGGCCAGTCACCTGATTTTGTTTTAGCCTGCTACTTACACACCTTAATACTGCCTCTGAGTCTAAAGAGCAGGCTTTCTTAGGCATCTGCAGCAGATGTGCCACGAACAGCACCCTTCTTACGTATCTAAATGTGGAATGAAATGAAAAACTACTAAAAAAAAATAAAAATACTGAGGCATTTAAGCTGCGTCACAAAAAAAAAAAAGGTCTTCAATACATGCGCCCTGCTGCAAGGAGCTGAAAGTTAAACAACGAGCATAATTACTAAAGCATAACAGAACAAAATTTTGACCCATGGAATCGATACGACTGTCACTGGCACGTCAGGAAGTATTTCTTTTTTTTCACCTATGTGGTAAAGTTGGCAACAAAAGGAGTTTGCTTTTCTTTCCACTGCACCAAACCTGAAGGAACTGTGAGGATTGACTTAATGAAGAAAATGTTTGTTGAAACCTTATTAAACTATGTAACCAGCAGATAAGAAATGCAGTAAAGAAAACAGTTCTGCATGGACACTCCTATCGGGCACCTATAATGGCATCTGCCCACCTGTAAAATAGTTTCTTGGGAAGCCAATTCTAGGCACGTAATATGACACAAATACAGCGGCAGATACGAGATGCTGCCGACAATACAGCAATCAACCCTGCTCTGGCCTTCTCTTCCCATTATTGCAACCAATGCAGGCATGCATAGAGTAACACTGATCTGAGCTTGTAGCTGGAGTGTAGGGGATGATGGGAATTTCACACAGACTGTAGACGTGTACACATAACAAGTGGAACACCAACTATGTTTTTCTTCATTTTGGAAGGGTGTTTGTTAGCAAAAATGTCTCATCACTTGCTGTCCCAATGGGAACAGAGTACAAATCTAACAAGCTGGGACACAAATGAAAATCAGATGGTTTTAACCCTTCACCTAGTTATCCCCAGAAAATTGGCTTTAGTTCCATTTTAATAAACAAATTGACCAGTATTAAGAGTTTGAAGTACAACTTCCTCTTTAGTAGGGGGATAATTAGAGAACTTACTATAATTTCAAATTGATAGATCAGCAATTGAAGCCTCCATATTGTCTCAGTACACTTTTCTTTTAAAATGTAGACAAGCTTTTCATTACAGTTGTTAAAACAATTTTCTACACCTATATGTATTTGCTTCCTGCCAAGGTCCTTCAACGGATGTCATTTTTTCTGTTTTTCATTATGCCAAAGGCTTTAATCCACTTCTTAATACTCCATATATAGTAGATGCTGTCAGCCTGTAGCTACTGGCAGAAACTGAAGGCTGAAAGGATAGCACTTGCCAAAACAAAAAATAAGCCATAAGATATCAAATGGCAAATACCAGATGGCAAATTCTGCTTCCAAAATGCCTTCAAATTATTTTGTGACCTGCAGCTGCAACCAAAATTAACTGAGAAGAGAATACAACTTCCTGTGCTTGGCCCTTCCTATCAAACTATGTGTGGCCAACATATGCGAAATAAAACTCATGATCAGTCATGGATTGCAAAGTAAGGGCAAATTAAAGATCCTAGGAGGAAAAAAAAACCCATCTGTCAACATGTCAGCTATGCATCAGAGGTTGTACACCCCCTAATGTACTGTATGTACATTACTAAATGTACTGTATTGTTGAGCTTAACAATATGTACATGAAAAGCAGATTACTATACATATGCCTTTTAAAAGGGAGCCATAAAGACTGCCACCTTCTGAGAATGCTAGTTAACTGGCTGTCTGTCTTTCCCGAGGAGCTCAGAAATGGCGAGAAGCTCGCTTTTAACAGGCTAAACAGGGGGAATGGGGTGAATAAGATACCACTCCCTCATCTCCATCAAATTGTAGTGGAATGCACTTAATCTTAGTAAGCGTGTAAAATTAAATTTAAAAAATTAGACTTCACACGGCAAACATAATAAAACCAATAGAGCTAAAAACATAAAATGAAGCTTCACCTACTCTACCTATAATCCTATTGTTGTAAACTCATTTACGTAACCAGGAGAACTTTTTAACGTAGAATTATACAAGACAAGTGACTGGTGCAAATAAGATTCTTACTGCTTCTAATTCCTTCTGCGTTTCATCCTCCATTCTTCTGATGTCTTCCATTGTTAGGTCAATCCACTTGTCAATCCAACAGAACAACTGACGGTGAAAGTTTGTGAATATTCGTTTTTCTTGCTTAAGGGAAAAACAAAACAAACCCCAACATTAAAAATAAGCGAGTATATTACGCTCTTAAGCAGTATTCATCACATTTGGCACTGGTGATATATTACAATGGGATGTACAAGGTGTTTAATAGCTGTGAGAATAGCCTCACATTGTGATTTCAATGATAACAGAAAATAAGACACCCTTTTCAATACCAATGATCTGCAGTGGCAGAAGAACATCCACACATTACCTTTCTAAGCAAGATTATAAACACAATAGCATAAGAAAGTTAACTCTGTAGGTGAATAACAGGAGCTCTTTACTTCTGTAGCTCTGTTGCATGGTAACCGGATTTGCAGCTCCAAAGTGTCTATGCATATAACTTCTCTATGCTAGGCTTGTCCCACATGTCAGCCTTGGGACTGGTCATGCAGCACGGCATTATGAGAGGCAGAGAGTGAACTAGTGCACACCATACCTGGACTTTCGGGTCTCTCATGGGGTTTTCTTTGGCAGATTAAGGCACCATGAATGAGAGCAAAATATACTGGAGAGTTTCTTCTGTGCAACTGTAGGGTTACTGAATTTAATATGGTTAGCTCTAAACTAAACATTAATGGTCTAGGTCAGCACTGGATAATTCTACATATCAAATACAAAGTCTGCACAGGTAAAGCATTTCAACAATATAGAGCATTGACATAGACGTGACTCGTATTTTAGGTTTAAGTGTCCTTTGAGCTAAGACCAGCCATAAAAGTATTTTTGGAACCTACATAACATGCATTCCATGCTTCCGTTTTACATCACTCGATTGCCTCATGTTACCGGCTTGAAACAACCGTTTGCTAATTACGTAAAACATTTGGAGTTATCACAAGGTTAACGAGGACCTGTTACCAATCTGTGCAGTAATGGCATACAAGATCCTCTTCCTTATGACTGGTACATCACACCAATAAGCCTGAAGCCAATTCCCATTGCATTTTTGGTATCATTTAAGGGCAGGGCTACCTGTAAATAGATTCTGACATGTCTGCCCACACACTAGAGCCCATTCACACTACATCCAGATCATCTCTAGACCAGACCAGATTGTTTCCAGGCCCAAAATGTATCCCTATGCTATTTCTGGCCTCTGTTCACACCAGCGCAATCCGTTCCGGACCAAACCAGAAAAATACGGCATGTCTCATTTTGTCTGATCTGGAATGCACTGGAACTGTGGGCAACAATCTTCCTTTGTGCTAAACAGTTTGTCACCTCCTTATCTGTTCCCGACAGAATCCTTACAGCAACAGATTGGCTATAACTTTCTCATCCCTTTCTTCTGGACATCTTCAAAACGTGCCTCCTGGTCATGAAATACTAAGCCCCACTGGACCGCGTAGGAGGAATCACTTTAAAAGATCTATGGGATGACTGGGTCCAAAAGGCAAAGATGGTGGTCCCTTTCCTAAAGATAAGCCTGAGCTTGTCCCTTTCCCTTCAAGTAAATTAATGAATAAAACAAAAGTATCAAAATCTACTTAACAAAAAGGAATAAAAGAGGAACTTTACCCATATCTTCAAAACAACAACAAAAAAGGTACTTTTAGAAATGTTTAATACGGACAATCTACAAACAGATACTTCTGGATCATTGCAGGTTTTTTATTTTTTGCATACCTTGTTTTTCTTTTCTTCCCCAGTTTTCTGACAGTGGCCATTTTGCTAGATTACTAGATCTCCCTTTACTTCCTGAAACTCTGGCACCTGTGACTAGGACATGAGACTATGTACATGATCTCAGGGGAGGAAAATGCCTGTTCCCGAGATTGTGTGAATTTATAGAGATTTCCCAGCAATGCTCTGCTGATGTAATTTTCCCAGGATGCAATGCTTCGACACGATTACATCATTTGTGCCAGAAGTGGACCAGGAAGTGGGAAAGAAATTGTAAGTAAAATACAAATATGTGTATCTAATGAACGTAAGATGAGTTCCTATCAGCATGTAGAGCTGTATGCTGATGTGATTTTTGAGTCAAAGGGGTAAAGGTCCACTTTAAGAACCTCGTTAAATATTAACATACTAAATGTAAGCAATGTAATGATATCATTTTTACAATGTACAACTAAAAAGGAAGGAATAACACTTTTCTTCCTGTTCATACAGAGGGATGTAATACATACTAAGTTTAGGTCTGACTTCAAATTGGGAGACTCATGCTGGCTAGATAACATGCAGATTTCAGCCTACTGTAACTAGCTTTTGGAAGTACTAAAAACTGTGCTTACCTTTCTGCATAGCAATAACGTCTTCCAGAAATCTATCGTACAAGTCTGTGCTTCTTGCCCTCTGCCTCCTTCATTTCCTTTATGATAGATCACTAGCCACTGTGTAGTCTATCAGCCTTGCCTGTGGTCTAATAACCTCCCCTTGTAGTTCTATTTCAGCCAGCAGGAAGAGATCACATCCCAACATGCACTGCAGTGGGTGGAGTAGTGAAGTCTTAGACTGCTGGTCTGACCCTGCCCACTCAGTGCAACTCCCTGCTGTCACACCTCTTTCTCTGAGACTGGACAATACTGGAACACTGTGTAAAACATGGTGCTGTTCCACACTAGTGATGGTAAGTTTGCATCTTTTACATACATGGGTTCATTTTTAACTGTTCATTCAAATGAACCCATTCATGAATTGATTCATCGGTTCATTTACTAAGTCTGCTGACAAGCAAGTGAACTGACTCAATCTAAATGAGGATCTCCTCTGATCCAGATTGTGTGTGTCATCTCTCTCACCTCCCTTCAATTCAGTGTCTGGTGTACTACTGACTGAGAACTGTTGTAAGTTCTGATTCTCAGTGTAGTGTTAGCTCTGATTGGTTGCAGGGAGGGGCGGAGCTCTCTCACTCTAGGATTACACTACCAGAGCTGTTCTCCTATTGATGCAAAACTGAACGGTTTCAAATGAATCAATTCAATAGAAAGATTCCTTCATAAACTGGACATCACTATTCCACACAGCCAGATGCCCAGATGTTGTTAGAAGGAGGTGGGATTACTTGAAAGCAGGGGAATTTGACATGTAGGGGGCACCTATAATATGTATGTGCAGTGAGAGAAAAAAATACCTAAAGTCACTAGAGCATACAGCACTTCGTAGCTCTTCCCATCTCCATCCTCAGCTCTGTCTATACACGCCTCCCTCTTCCTCTATTTTGCAATGGCTCATGGGAGATGTAGTCTGCTTTCTCTGCCAGGATATCACACACACTGGTTAACTAGATCCTCCCCTGACTGAAGGAAGGAAGGAATATTTAGTAGCAAGGAAATTTCACGGAAAACCTGATTCCAAACATTTGGAGGGGTGTCCCAATACTTTCGGTAATATAGTGTATGTTAATCTGCCGTTCGTAAATATGGCCACCATGAGAAGAATGGGGAAGAAAAATACGGTATGCAAAGAATAAAAAGCTCCAATAATCTATAAGTATCTTTTTGTAGATTGCCAAGTTTAAAGATTTCTTAAGGTGACTTGGCTGCCAATTTAAAGATAAGGGCAAAGTTCTCTTTAAATCACCCCCAGGAACAGGTACTCTTAAAATGGTATAGGAAAAAGAATGTCAAGGGTAACTAGCTCACTAGTCTCCAAAAAAGCAGGTTAAGATAAGGCATTATAGTACTGCAAGACATTCCGCCATTACATAACAAGACACTACCTCCCACCTTCATCAGAAATTGCCAAAGTTCTTCTAACATATATAAGACGGTGCTGTAATGGGACTGTAGGTCAAAAGGCTAAGAATGCTGTCATATTAGCTTCCTTATTATCACTGACTCCTCCATACAAAGCAACTCTGTTGCCAAGTGTCAGCCATTCTTTTTGCAGTTCCATTATGAAAACATTTTTTCTTCTTCATCTAATAGCGCCTTGATGCAAAGAGGTGGAAGTCTGAAAAGTTGGCATTTTAGATCTTCACCATGTGTCTGAACACTTATTCTTATAATTCCTGAACAGCACAAATGGTTTCATCCTTGATTGTCATAGGTGTACAAATTAAAAGGGCCCAGATTGGCTGTACTAGCTCGTAAAAAATGGAATATACAAAAGGTTGAAAGCAATCAAACAAATTCATAAACGGGAAAAGAAGAAGAGGTAGAAAACACATCAATTAAGGCAACTGACAGCCCATACCAAGGTCTTACCTTTTGAATAAAATGTTCTACTTTATTTTGAAGTCCCCACCATCTAAACTTTATTGTTACTAGTTTGTAAGCACACATGCGTGGACAGTCCTCAGAGTTTGCCAATTCTTTCTGCAAAAAAGTACAATGGTCATTTCATCAACTTTATGAAAAATATACCTTAACCTAAGTAAAGCTGGTCTCCGTACGATCTTAGGCTTCAGTATTAGGAGTCACTGACCTGCAACAAGGGCGCAGCAGGTGAAGTTTTAACTTTTGATCTGCATACTTGTTCTGGGTCAGAGACATGAAAAGTCTGTAGATCAGCATGAAAGCCAGTCGACTAGCATTTTTAAGAAATCAGCATACATGGTACATGCAGGAACTAGTTGTACATTTCACATACTTCTATTTGCGATGGACATCTCTTACTAGTGTTGTATTACAATTATATCCCAAGTACATAGAAAGAGCAGCTGCAAAGGCCACGTGATGTCCTGTAGAAGTTTAGTCTATAAAAGGGAAAAATGGACATCAAAGCAAGATTGATAATACATGTCCTAAGATAAATCTATAGGCCAATGGTGCTGACCTCTCTTTTGAAAATGCTACTTCCCTGGCTGTTATGCTGATGCTTTCTTCAATATTTGATACGGAGCTAAAAAAAAAGAAGTACAGAGATAAGAAATTCTGACCTCTCTTGCATTCACACTTGTTCCAAAGGTCAGTCAATTAGAAATATCGAAGCTAGGCAACTAGCATTTTCTGTGGCCACATGTCTCTCATGACAAGGGTGGTTTATGGCATACTTATGTCAAGTCCTAATATGCTTCACAGTAACGGAGATTGTTAACACTTGTGCATAGAGTATTCTCAAACCCACAAAAGTGAACCTGGCATGTGAAAAACAAGGAAGAGTTAAATGCCGAGTTGTTTTTGAAGATGGAACTTCCTGGGCTGTTACCCTTATTCTTGCGTCACTACTTACTGGGACAATGACCAAGCATGCTGCCAATGACGTCAGAACTACCGTGCTTGTTTTGGTTCAGTGGTTTCAATATAAAACCCAAGAATGCGGATGACAGAAGAGCATCCACTCTCAAAATCAAGTCATCAATGGCATCTCCCATATTGCTATTCCGACAATAGCAGTGTTATGTGTGCAGCCTGTACAGCTACACTGCAGCTTTCAGTAGGTGGCAGCAGAGTAATGGAATCTAAAACAGGTAGGACTAGTGAAACAGCATTAAAGGAAAGACTTACCCCCAACATAGTGTTGTTTCAAGCATTCCAGGGTCTTCAGGATTCTGTAATATTACTTATTTTCTGGGTTAGGCTACACATATGTGATCTAACTTCAGTGGTCAATCTGTTAGTTAAAACTGCTAATGAATACAGTAGTCAAAGAGCAGATCACGTGGCTACAACTCAGTAGATACAGCATACAGGCATGATAAGAGAAATAAAGTTTGACCCAACAAAAGGAAGATGGAATGACAGTCACAGCCAGAGGTGGTGGTTACAGTAACCCAAACGTCTTGACCTCGAATTTTCATGCATTGCAACTTCAAAATTGTAGAGAGAATGGTGCGAGGAGCAAAAATGATCCCTATGAATGAGATCAGATGCATGTAAGCAGACAGGAAGTGTAAAACTGCATTAAATAACCAATCTAAGCTTAAAATGACATTAAACCCTCAGATTTTTTAACATAAAACAATACTGTAATGTGTGCCTTACTGTAATCCATGGTTGTTTCCCTTCTCTTTGCTACTCTTCCTTTTAAATCTGTATCTGTTCTCATGCTCTGCAGAACTTCTGTTTTGCAGCAGACTGCCTTGTCTCAGGAATGGATACACGGTGTCTGTGTATCCGTTTGTATAGGCTTGTAACCTGAGCCTGCACTACAGGAAGAGGCCCTGAGCTGAAAAGGGAAGTTCTCCCCAAGCATGAGAAGACATGAGGATTTAAAAGGAAGAGCAGCAAAGAGAAGGGAAACAACCATGGATTACAGTAAGGCGCACATTGCAGTATTGGTTTATGTTAAAAAATCTGAGGGTTTAATGTCACTTTAAGTGTTGCCACACTTGTCAGGTTTTACTTGTGTTCATGGCTCCAATAGAAAGAGTTACGCTTATTTCCAGTCTGGAAAAACATTTTCCCCAAAATAGGAAGGGAGGTAAAACTTTCAAACAGGAAAAAAAAGTAGCAGGTGTTCTAGCCTTCCTCTACTTAAAGAAAAACAACTTGAATACGACTTTTGACTTGGCTGTAAATTTGTTTTCTTGGCGTACAGTACCGCACAGCCCATTTAACCCCTGCTAACCCCAGTAATCCAGCAAGTTGTGACGCAAGCAATGAGAGTAAAAGCACCAGAACAGAGGGTCCCCTATTGTGCCCCAGGAAAAGGATTTTACAGGCAAGACAAACGTCCAGTTTTCTTAATACAGTACAAGGATGTACTCAAGCAATACAGCGGATATGTGTGCAACACAGCAAACAATGCCAACAGGTCCACAAGAACTAACATGGGAACCTATCCCAAACTCAAAGAGCAGCCTGAAGCACCTTACAGCCGAAGCTGGAGATAGCAGCAGCTGGAGACTGGTAAAACGTCACAAATGCATGAATTGACAACCAGGTGGCAGCTTCGAAAATCTGAGGAACAGATGCCAGGTGCTCAAAAGGCCTAATAGCCACTAATAGACCTAGTCCAGTGACCCTTGACCGGAAAAGGAGGAACCCCGTCTTTTAAGGCATAAGCTTTAGTGATGACCTGTCTAATCCGCCTAGCTATGGTGTATAACACAATGCAGGGTGCCCCTTGAGGGAGCCTTCAGGCAGGGAAAAAAAACAAACATTATCCGATACAGTAGCTGAAAGGTACAATCACACTGTCTGCATCACATTCAAACAGTGCAGTGAAATCTCTTTGCAATGCTTCGGTGACAGGTAAAAAAAAAGGCAGGACGATGTCCTGATTAAGGAAGTGGGAAGAAACCACCTTACAGATAAGGTGGTCCTGGTCTCATGAAGGTGGTTCTGGTCTCATAATGAAGAATTAGAAAGGGCCCTCTACAGGATAAGGTCGTCAATTCTGAAAACCATCTCAAAAGACGAGATAGCCATGAGGAAGGACACCCTAATGGGCTCGAAAGGAGGCCTCTGAATAGCTGACAAGGCCAGATAAAGATCCCATTACAATACTGGGGAATGAATGGGCAGCCCCAACATGTGCCATGAGCCTGTACAACAGTTTTCACCAGAGAGTGAGCAGCAAGAGGCCTCTGCAAGAATAACCAGGCAAAGTAGGCCTTCCAAGTGTGATGTAGACTTTCCGAGAAGCCAACTTCTTAGCCTTCAAAAGCATAGGAATAACCGTGTCAGACTAAGCCTAGTCGTGGACTTCAACAGCCAAGCAGTCAGAGCCAGCGACTGAAAAACAGGATGGTATACTGTACCCCGAGACAACAGGTCAGGTTGGTCAGGAAAAGCCCATAAAGAATCTCCCAGGAGTTGGAGGACATCAACTTCTTCTAGGAAGATTCGGCTCTACCAGGATCACCGGTACAGCCCCCACCCTGATCCTACGGAGCAGTCAAGGATCATCTAAAACTGATAGCACAGACTCACTAGATCTTTCACTGTTCTGAGATTCTGGGTTCTTCTCATAAACCTATATGTAGTTAGGTCAAGTAAGAGGGCTAAGTCAGGTGATAGGAGTCCAAAGGTTTAATTAAGCATCTGATGACAACCAGAATACAAATACAGCCAACATGTTTCAGGACTAAAAACATTCAGGGCTACAAAAAAGTAAAAAATAATAAGGGAAATTTATAAAAACGGGGACAGAATCTGGAGTAAGGCAACCAATCAGCTTCTATCTTTCAGTTTCCAAGCTTAACTGAACAAACTGGTAAGAAGCCAACAGGTTGCCATGGGCAACTGCTCCAGATTCTGTCTGCTCCAGTTTTAATGAATTCCCCTGCATATTATTTTTAAATTTAACCTTATGATCGAGACAGAGAAAGGAACAGTGTGATTGAGAAAAAAGTGGAGGAGTCAGAAGAGTTATAAATAAAACAAGTGCTGCTTGACCTGAAACCATAGTAGGGTCATGGGTTTCTAGTGAGTTTATTCATTTCTTAGGCGGTATGGAACACTGCAAGTTTTCTTAATCAAGCAATTTCCATCTCAAGGAGGTGTTGAATTTTAAAATGAAGGCAATTCTGAATGAACTGCAGTCATCATAAGACTTCTATATGAAGTATGAAAGCATGACTTAATTTTAAAGGGCTGTTTTTTTGTTTTGTTTTCCTAGAAGTGATATTTTGTATCTATATATAATAGGGGTTAGGAGTGCGTTATTTCTTGTTTGGGAAAGTTTTATGAGGCGGTTTGTTTAAAGCCTTGGTTCTCAACTAGTGGGTCGTGACCCCATGTTTAGTGGGTCACAGCATGCTTTCCACTTTTTTAGTTTCTAATTTCCAGTTCTCACAAAGTAGGGAGACTGAGTGGATCTTAAAAAAAAAAAAGAAATATTTTGTTTTTGAATGTGTATATGTGTGTGTATATGTGTGTGTGAGATTGTGGCTGTGTGTATCTGTCAGCGTTTTTGGAGGGCTCCTTCACACTAGTACAGTGCTTTAAATGAACAGTCCTGTGCCATTAACGCGCACTGTACCATGCAATCGCACCTACTACGCATTCTGGTGTGGGAGGTGCATTGCCATTCATTCCCACCTCACGCTCCCACAGTTCAATTGCCCGCACTGCAAAGCGGGGTACCGCAATACTGTTCATTCCATTGCAGTGTGTCTTGGGTCGCGACCTAATGACCATGGACAAACATGGGTCCTGAGGTTACACAGGTTGAGAACCACTGGTTTAAAGGGTTTCTAAACCCTCAGCTTTTTTTGCATATATCTACTGCTAGCAAGCAGTAGATATATGCAAAAAGTTAAATAAAAACAAAAACAAAAAAACGCTTTAACAGCGGTTAAAACGTATTTGTGCCTATCCTGCGCGCTCCCATCTGAAAACGTGAAAATTCTCGGGCGGCCGCAAAGCATCTTGGGGCGGGCGCATGCACAGATGACACTTTCGGCTGGGACGCGAGGAGAGACACAAGGTAAGTATATGGACGCGTGCACCCGCATGCAGACACCGGGGGATAGGAAGTGCCAGCAAGCCCAGAGGAGTCAGCGCAGCGCTGGAGAGAAGGCTGAAAACTACAGGAAAGAAGAAGATGATCGGATTAAGAGACATCATTTAAAGGTAAGTGCTTTATTTAACGCTGGAGTGAGGGAAAACAAGTATTTGTGCCTTTAATGTCACTTTAAAAAGGTCTCATTTACACAGTGTAGTCGACCCGTACAGATCTGTGCGGCGTGCACAGCCGTATCGGGCCGTTCCCGGCCAGGACAGGTGCTGCGTGTGATTGTACACAGCAGCCTGTTCTTCTCTATGGGACTACGTGGCCGTACGCTCACACTACCTGCACATCCGTGCAGATGGATCCTGTCTGCGTCTGATCACTGACACCCGCACGGATGTGCAGTTCAGGTGAGCGTACGGCGGTGTGCTATAGAGAAGAACAGGCTGCTGCCTACAACCACCTGCAGCACCAGTCCCTCCCGGGAACGGCCTGATAATGCCGTGCACGCCACACGGATTTCTACAGGTCGGCTCTTTGCTGTGTGAATGAGGCCTAAATATGTGCTGTATACTTGATTTGTGAAATTCATTTAAGTGTTATTACTCGATTTGTAAAAAAGCATTTATAAAAAACTTATATTTTATAAACACACTAGTGTGGTTCAAATCACTCAAGTTGCTATTAATACAAAGAACTTTCCTTGTTGCAGTGTTGCAATGATACAGCGGTCCCGCAGAATGGTGTCGAGAACCTTCAAATCCAGGATTTGTGGGCGAACACCCACAAAGGGTTTTGGAACCATAAACACGTTGGAGTTAAACCCTTGAGGGCTTGTTCACACCAAGTGCAGAGCAGATGCAGAGCAGTTTAGGAACGCATCAAAAATGCATCCAATGTATTCCAATGGTATTTTGGGCTCACGTTCACACCACAGCATTCAGCTCCAGTGCATGATGAAAAACTGCAACAGGCACTATTTTTACTGCTCTGGAATGCACCAAAACGCACGCAAACGCATCAAAAAACACTCTGGAACGCATTGGACTACACCTGAAAGCCTATTTCAAACAAAAAAAAAACACGGACGTGAACGCATCAAAACGCACTGCACTGCATATGCAGAAACTCATCCAGATCTGGTCTGGAATTGGTGTAAACAAGCCCTGAAAGCATTCCTTCAAGGGATCCAGATCAAATCAATCCCAAAGAGTGCAGAGGCTTCAAGGCAGCAAGAAGATCCCTTAGCCTGTGCAGGGAAGAGGAAAGATTTGAAGCAGGGAAGAAGGAAGGACCAAAATTCCAGTCTCTATCCCAAGTCTATAACCCAAATGTCCCAAGTCCAGGTGGCCAAGAAGGCCGACAGCAAGGACGTCAGGGATTTGTGAACCGAGTGGAGGGCTTTGCCTTGGCAGTGGATGCCTGGGAGAGATAAAAGGAACTTTTTCAAGATGCTTGTGTGGTCAAGTTTGTTGCGAGGATCTTTGCTTTTTTTTTTCCTTACTAGGTATTATTTTAGGCCTGGGAGAAATCATGGCTGACTGAGTTAGGGGGTCTCTCGCTGGAGGAAAACCAGACAACCCCCGCTCCCATTCCTCACCATCCTCTCCCTCCTCCAGAAATAAAAGTTTTGCATTGGTCGAGACTGCAAGCGACATGGTGGGGGACACTGACTGAGGGCGCTTACGCCCTTTGCTTCCAGCAGTTCTTATCAGAATAGAGACCTTCTCCATAAGTTCTGCCTTGGAAGCCAAAAATTACTCTTATTCTGTGCTGGCCTGCCGCTCAGTCCCATTTCCATTGTGCCTGGCATCCATTATTGTGGTGAGGGGATTCTTTGAGGGTACTCATGACTTTGCTGTGGAGCAGAAGGGTTGCAGCCAACCTGTGCCACACAACTAAAGGCTCCTGGATACCCAGTGATGGCCTAAGCTGAATCCCAGGGCCAAGAGGTAGAGCAGGCTGTGTATGTCTCTTGAAAAGGGCAGGTGCTCAAAAATGGCTGCCGAAGCCTGAGGGGAAACTAGGTAACCACTTCTCTGGGTGGGGCTCATCCACCCCTGGATGTGCTGCAGCACTGCATAGCTGCTGCAACAGAACTCTGCACCCCATGTCTGCGACGCACGATTTCCAGTGTCACACTGCTTCCAGGCCTGGAATCACACCATCCACCCCTCCATGAACGAAGACAGGGTCTCTGGGTCCAGGGACACCAATTGGGGGAGGGGACAGGGCTCTACCAGACAGGTGGACCATAGCCCTGGACCTGTAGAGCACCCTGCTGCTAACTGCACCTCGTTGCATTGTTGTACCAAGCGCCAGTGCCTAATTCAGAGTCCAAAGCTGAAGCAACATTACAAGTCTCTGAGGCTTGCAAAGAGCCAGAAGTTGTAAGATCACTGCCTCAGTTGCTTGGGTGCAGCAAGGTGGAGGTGAGAGTCCGTTTCAGATAGGTTGTAGAAGTGAAATTAGCCACAAACCAATTCTCAGAATGGAGAGGCTGTCCTCTAATTTAGTTCACCAGCATCCAATCACCTGAAAGTGTCCTGTACTGTACGATTAAGAAAAGCATTTTTACTTCTGTCTGTGTTGCTGTTGGAGACAATCCATCACTCCCTGTACAGTGAGAAGGTTGTCCCGGGGACAAAAATGAGGGAAAGTCTTTCCAAGCCACAAAAAGCAGTTACACCCCGACAGGAGTTCTAATCTCTCCTTGTGTTAACCAAAACTAAAAAGAAACAGCTTTAGCAATGTATAAATGTATATAGTTTAAGTGCCAATTTACAATTATTATTCAGCTGATGTGCCATAGACCTCAGATTAGCCCCAATTCCTGCACCATCAGAAATGCAGGGGCTTTACAGGTCACATCTGCTGCAGATGGTGGTTTCACTAGAAGGTAGGCAGTAGGCTTCTTCAAATAATGACATCCACAGGTTGACTTACGCTGATCATGGGGAGAGAGGCAGTCAACAACATCTAGTGGGCCTCTCCAAAAACATCAGAACAGGGTGGGCTGGGCAGGCATAGGCTTTAAAATGACAGCCTAGTGATCTGTTAATTACACCCTGTGGCAGTGGTGGTGGTGTTGTAGGTAGCAGAGGCGCACATGATATTCTGGTTTCCAATGAAAATTAAATTGCATGCCTAACCCTGGGCTACAGCAACCATGGGTTCACTTACATCAGTAAAGAAAATATGGTTACAGTGAACATGGTCACAGAAACATAATAAATGAAGATTTGTGTATTGTTGCCTGGTTTGAAAAAAAAAATCTTTATTTCTGCTGTATTATGGAGTTATTAATTTGTGTACACACCATTCATTTATTAGGAGGAGGTGGCAGGGATTTTTGCATAAATGTGTGGTAAATACATATGCAGGAACTGCACATTTTCTAGCACCACGTTGAGTCCATGTCACTGGAGGTTGCCAGTGCTGACCTACTTCCGACACCTGACCATCTTGGCCAACAACATTTTCCGAGTTCAGGCACTGCCTCTCCCTGTCTAAGTACGCTGTACAGGAGATTACAAGCTAATAAAACATTCAGGAATTTGGTCACATTTAGAAATCCCTATAATTGTTTTAATTGACACAACTGAATTCATTAGCACACCAACTGTTTTCTTTCATATGTGCCTTGAATTTACTGGGGCTATAATAACCATGGTCAATGGAATATCTGAAATGGCTCTTCCCCAGAAGAAATAGTTTCACACATATCTCCTCAATATTGCTCATCAATTATACTACTATTAGCTGGACATGAATTTAGTTACAGAATATTCAAACAGGAGGTTCTACATGATTCCACGGCTATGCCAATACACACACCTCTAAGCAAAGGCAAAATGTGTCCAGTTACCTTCCAATTAGGTCCCAGGGGTCCCCTTTTTGTTTTAATAGACTGAAACATTGCAGGGTCTTCATCCGCTTTGTAATCCTACAAAACAAGCATTACAATACTGAGGTTAGGGTGAATGCTCCATATAAAATAGAATCAGAGGTTTATGAAGAAAACATAACTGCATTCCTTTTATATACACACACACGATAAGACTTCAACCATGTTACACTGCTGTAGTAAAGTATGCTGCTTCTTTGAGACTTCTGGGAACTGATGAATTAAAAAAAATTAAGGAAGGCTGATGCCCAGAGCAGGCAATCAGACCGCATGGGATGAATAAGCTAACTGGCCCCATTTTGTTCAAGTCTGTATAACAAAAGAATAGCAGCAAGAACATTTATATGCTTCTTTTTTTAGTTATACAGGTGTCAATGTAATTTTACAAACACACGCCAACTAGAACAGGATGAGGGAGTCAGGTGTAACTGGCCTTGGGATGGTAAAGAGCATCTAGGGACAAGAAGGGAATTTCATAACTCCAAGGAAGATGGTAATTTGAAGAGCAAGTTATTAGTAGTTATATTCTAAGACTCCTGGCGACAAGGGCTTAGCCACGTCATTTCCAAAATGTATTGAAATTTCCATAACAGGGCATCCTCCATATCAAACCCTTTTGCTAGTACAAAACGTTTTAACCAGCAGAACCCCGTCTGCCAGGTGGCGAGTCCATTGTTCATTCTCTTGCACAACTAGACCACAGCTTCTAAAACTTCCAGGTGTGTCAGATGTTCCTCCCGTCTGCCACAGAGTCAGTACAGGACATAACAATGATGTTGCAGCCAGCAGGTGAAACACTAAGGCCACATTCTGAGATTACTGTAGCAGGAATCCCAGGTGTCCCCGTTCAGATGCAGCCGCTGTACCCATTAAAGATAATGACAGGGCGACAGCAGCTGCATCTGTCAGCACATGGTACGATTACATGCAGTTTGGGATAGATGACTGTTGCTGGACGTAGGGTAGATGCATCCAGGGACAATCATCCATCCCAAAACTATATGTAAACCTATCATGTGTGAACACATGCTGACTGCTGCTGACAGATGTGGCAGCATCTGAACAGGGACACCTGGAATTCCTGCCGCAAATATCCGTAGGTTCTTGCCGCGGAGATGTCAGAACACCCTTTGTGACTACAACCCAACACACCCAAAAGTACCGGATAGCAGTAGCAGCTATAACCCAGGATTTATGCAAATGGACATGCTTCAGCCCAGACAGATAAATAGTAATCATGTTTGTGTACAGGATGCTTCTGGTTAAACTGAACTCCAGGCAAACAGCTGAATACACAGTTGAAATACATATATTGGAGGAGTTTTACCTGCCGAAGGTAATATTGTCCAGCCAGCCCTGCGATTTCAGGATATCAAATCCAGGTACAGTAAACGCCCCAACATTTTCCGGCATTCAAGCAACCAGAACTCTCAAGCAACCAAAAAAAAAGGGAAGACGTATTAGGTCATTTTTTTTTTTGGTTGCTTGAGAGTATTACATCCTCAATTTTCTTTGTAGGTTGCTTGATAGGCATGTGCGCACTAAAAAAAATAGTTGGCAACTAAATTTATTTAATTCTCCATATACATCTTGCTGTAGCTGATGGCTAGATTTCTTAGCTGGCAGGTGAATGTAAACAACGGGCAGTGGCCGTGTGCAATAGGCAGCCTGCTATTGGCTATGGCAATTTGAAATAGCCAATAGCAGAATCTAGCCAGCAGATAAAAGGGGCCTTGCTTGAGAGTTAATAGGAACTCTCAAACAACCAGAAACTAAGGTTATCCAGGATCTACCACTTCCCATGAGTACCAGATAACTGGGAGTTTACTGTATTTTGCATTTCTAAATTCATTTAATGCTTTTTATGAATACAAAAGGACATTAAATGTTTCTTTATAGCTGCCTGGAGTTCAGCTTCAACTCCTTTTACATTATGTCATCTATTCTGGTCAGAGGTCTCTTTAAAAGAAGACAATGGATGGGTCTTCAGCCACTGATAACTGAAGTGTGGACAGTGCCATAAATGTTTATGCCAGAAAAAGCAGACAACAGAAAAATTAGACCTATAAAACTCAGTCTATCATTATTCATGTTATACAAATAGTTACCAAAAAGCAGCATCAACAAGACCATTTGCTTCCCCCTGTAATCATTTACAAAAACACAATACCAGTTTATAAATAAAATGCTTTTAATTTCATCATTATACTTAAATCCCTGCATTTAGATTTTACAAAAATGCACAATACAAGACACAATCCAGTACAGCAATACAATGCCCAGCTCCCAATTACAGCTGCAAATGAGCAATAGTGTGGAAGGAGACAGCCTTCTGGCTTTGTTAGCATGCAATCTCTTTAGGATCCCACAGGGAAAGCAAAGCCACTGTAGGCGAGCCTTTGGCTTGTGGTTTATTTTGTTTGCCACCAGCTGTACACTTCTCATCTCATTAGTTCTGTTAAAATACTCTGGGGGATGACAGCTGGAACCCACTCGAATCTTCAGCTCCGAGGATATCTGGAGGCTAATTCTGCAACCCATGAAAGAAAAAAAAAAAAGAGCGTCCACCACACAGCACTGTGCTGTACAAACAGTTTGAGCTTCTGAAGTAGGTTAAAAATGCAACAGGGCTAATGTGTCACTTCGGATGAAAGTACTACTTGTACGTACAATGCTTGAGCCAAGAAAACTCATTATCAGAGAACAAAAACCACACACACACACACACACACACACACACGCGTCATACTGGTATTTCAGTAGCAGAGGAAGGATAGGAAATTATAGATAGAAAACACATTTTAAGATACAGAGAAATACAATAAACCAAAAGGGCATATAGAATACATATTTGACTTACTTAAAAGGGCCAGTAAATGTAATTGACAAGCTAGTCAATGTAAAGGACATTTAAAGGTTTATAGATAACCTGCCAAAAAAACTTTCAAAAGCCTGAAGTCCAGCTCTAGCCAAATCTTTAATTTTAGATTGGACAGAGTGGGAAATGGCTAGAACTTGCAGTCTTTGTCTACATGGATTCCCTCACAGGGGCCTTTGCTGCTCCATTAGGAATCTTAGCAGCATAGAGGACAAGACATTTTGGATGTTTCTTAATATTTTTAAGATGTTAAATGAACATTTTAAATTTTTTTTATTTTTTTAACTCTAATTACCCCGACACGCTGGTGAATTGTCAAAGAATCCAAAAAACATCTGTACCAGTTCCTCAGGAAGGCAACTTTCTTGCCCACATAGGGGTAGTAAGTCGCACCGAAGACCAAATTAAAGACCAATTCTCAGCAACAAGTGCGTCCAATGAGAAAGGCATTAATGCTAGCCAGCAAAAAGGGCAATGGTGCTAAACTCATAATATCCACTAGCTTTACCTTAAGCCGAGTCCTATTTAATCCACTTCAGCATAATTCAGAATGCACTAAGAGTGTACTTCCTAAAACCTGTGCCTGCAACTTTTCTCTGACGCCTATCGCACTTAAACTCACAAAGTAACTTTAAATCTGACTGGTGGTTGTCAGGACCAGATTTATACTATAACTCCCAATTATGGGAGATGTGACAACACTACTATGCTTGTAACAGACTTCTCCAAAATCACTAACACATCCTAGAAATAAGCTATCTGCATCTCATGAGTGTTGTAATCCTTCTCCAAAATCTACATGTGAAGCATGAAAAAAAAACATGCATTTAAGATATGCGTTGCCATTTACTTTGTCACATGAGCAGTGTACTTTACCCTGAAATGCACAGCTAAGACTCAAACAGCTTGACACTTAGTGTGATGTTTATATGCCAGCTTCACTGCATGAAACATGTTATTTTGACATATTAAAACTACAGGGATACACAAAAGATAGAAACATCTAATATATTAATATCAAGGACCTGAAAAAAAACAAAAAACCTTTGCTTTCAGAGCAGCTTTAATCCTCCTTAGTATGCTGGGACAGTTGAATCCTAAACTACAGTATGTGTTGCGATATGCTGCACCATTCAAGAATCGAAGCCATTAGTTACTTGAGAGATCAATATGGTGGAAATTACTTCTCAAATCGCCTTTCAGAATATTATTGAAAGTTCAACAATGTTTAGATTGGATGAAGGTGATTGTGAGCCCATGAAAGGCAAATTTTAGTTCATCATGGGGCACAAAGCCACCCTTGAATTTTGCAATGTGAATGGGTCATTATGGTCCTGGAATAAAGGAATGGTATTTGTACCATAAGGTGCACCTGGTCCTGGTTAATAGCCTCAACATGCTACGGCCATTGGATGATGATGCAGTGCAATTATTAGATGTAATGACTCCCACATGTTGGCTGTAGAGATAATTACATATTCCCTAGCATGTTTAACAGTTGGCAAAAGACACCAAGGGTTGAAGGCATTCTACAAATGTAATCTAAAACTATGGTAAAAATTATTTACCAGGCCAGAATAATTTGTTGCTCAAGGATCCACATTTTCATACACTGGCCATGGATGTAAGAAATGTATTAATGGCAGCACTAACACAAACTTTGTAAAGCTTATGAAAGCACTTTATGTTCAAACTGACACGCAGAGGTGCTGTGAAAGTGTCGACTTGCAAGTCATTTTCTTCTTGCTCAGTGCAGATTATCACGCATATTATTTGATATATTAAATAATTCTGCTGGGGGTTTTTTTTTTTTACAGATGCCCCTGCAATTTAAACACTGGTTGCTCTTTGTTGACTTAAGTTGCTAAAACCCACATATTGAGGTGCTCCTTAACCAGTTGACATCCGCGGTGTTAAACCCCCTTCCTGGCCAGGCCATTTTTCAGTATTCAGCGCTGCGGTACTTTGACTGACATTTATTCCGTCATGCAGCGCTGCACTGAAATGAATTTTATACCCTTTTTTGGGGGACAGACAGAGCTTTCTTTTGGTGGTATTTATTCACCACTGGGGTTTTTATTTTTTTACTATATTAAAAAGGAAAAATCACCGAAATTTAAAAACAAAAACAAAAAAAACAGTTTCCCCTATATTAAATGATAAAACATTTATTATTACCCAACTTTTTATGCATTGGACGGGCCTTTTCTGCCCATGCGTGCCCGGTAGGGGGCGGGCGCGAGCAGAAAAAAAATGCGGCAACCCGCCAATGCAGCAGTGCCGTCTGTCCGTTTTTCTACTACGGGCGGACGGCAAGAGGTTAACACACTTCTGACATTTACTGCACAATAGCAGTTGACCATATACATCTCACTTTAAGAGTAAGGGTGCCCACACACCTTACGATAATCGTACGATAAAAGCCGGACGGGCCGGTGTGCGCAAGCGCACACTGCCCGTTCGGCATTGCAGTCATCGGAAGCCCGTCCCTCACGGGGCGTGGCTTGCGATCATCACAAGTACGATCTGCCTATGCAAGATAGGCAGATCGTACGTTTTTTTAAGTACCTTCAACCATCGCAAGACAAAAGTCTTGCGATGGTTGTAAGGTGTGTGCCCAGCCTAACAATCTCTATAAAGCTGGCCATGCTCCTTGTGATTATTGTTCAGGAATTTTCGCTGCTGCAAAGAACCCTCTTCGATTCTAGCTCAAGTAGCCCATCAGGCACAGACCAACGTCATTTCAGAAATCGTTCGTTAGCAATACTAACTCACCGAATTTTGACGGACGGAACATATTTTTGTTTGCGCACGTTGCAATTTTTTTTCTAATTAATTCATCGCCACTAATCCATCGATTTTCTTACGATTTGAAAAAGGTTTTACAGCTTGACCGATCGAGAAAATTCGGCCAGGAGTACAGCAATTGTGGTTGTTCACTTTCCAACAACTGGCTGATTATCATACGAAAACCCGATTGCATCTGATTTCCGAACGATAATAGCAAGGTGAGGAACACCTTTAAGCCTTAAAGATTAGGATATCCCAACATGGAAGCCTTCACATCATGAGCTGACTAACATTTGTCACCATCTCTAAAGTCGTTTATACACGTGTCTCTTTCATTCAATCCACAGGCTGAACAGAAAAAAAAGAAAAAAAAAAATGATAACAGATTCCTCCAGCAACACTTAAGGGCGTTGGACAAATCCCCCGCTGTCATAATACCCAAACGGACCTAGCAGCTGATTGGCTGCCAGCTCAGTTTGGCTAAGAATTTTCCAATTTGCTCCTTTGATCAGCTGATCCGGGGCAGAAGGGTGCCGACAGCACCATCTACTGTGCACATTTTGTCCGGTTCATCAGGTACCGGCCGAAATTCGTACCATGTGTAACCTACGTACGTAGATTTCCACTAAAGGGCTTGTGGAGAATACAGCATGTGACAGCACCAATGTCCAATAGACCCGTGTTCGCACATGCTGTCCCTTGCAGAAACTTGCTCAGTAAATCACAGAGAGATAAACAATGATATGCTGACAGCTGTTAGCCTGCCCATGACTGCTGGTAGGATGAGCATGTAAAAAAAAAACACGGACTTAAAAGGGCAACTTTACTTTTAATAATGTCCATTTAATGAAATTGCAGCTACAGAAATCTGCTGGTTTATACACAGGGAGTCTATAAAATACTGGAAACATCACATGAGAGTTCAAAAGACAATTTTGCTTTTAGTAAATGAGCTGTTTTCATGGCGGTCTCCAGCTGTCCAGTGGAGTTTGGGCCGCCCATAGAAATTAATAGGGTCAAGGCTTAGAATGAAGAGCCAACAAGGATTTTTTTCCTGGGTAAGGCTGTGCAGCTCCAGGCAGCACCGTACAGTGAAGATCATGGGGGCAGGTAAGAAGGTACGTATTTTACTAGGCAGGCTGCACTTTGAAAAATGGGGGTTTACTAAAAGTGAAAAACTATATTTTCCATTTTATATGTTGCTTCCACTTCCCTGTATGTAAACAGTACATTTCTGAAGCTACGATTGAGTTATGTAAAATATTGCAAAACCTAAAAGAATAAAGAGCAACTTACGCCAGGTTCTACTTGGTTTCGGTCTGCAATATCAATATGGACCACTTCAACAGTTTTCCACACATTGGGATCTAGACCATGTACCTGGAAGAAGTTCCACATGTTACACATTAAAGATATTGAGATATCTTTAAAAGTAATGAGTTCAGTATTTCATTATTTCACGAACAATAGATTCACAGTATCATACAGGACATTAAGGCAACACACTTTCTGGGAAAAAAGGCTAGTGTATTATTCATTAGGATATACTCTACGTCCGTAATGCATGAAAATCCTCACCTCAAAGAAATGCACTGATTGCACCATAAGCAAAGGAAGTCTAATTTTGTTTAGATTATAGAAAGGGGGAGCATTGTCAAAAAGGAAAACCTCTACCAGCTTCTACTGCTGACAGCAGCAAGATAGGGGAATAGACTTCTGTATCCCCAGTCCCAGAGATTAATCAGCATTTGCCTTCATCTTTTTGATATAACACCCCCCCGATTACCCATCAATCCAACTAAACCAAGTATATAAGCATGTGCCTTTAAGTATTAATTCAGTTCTATTTTAATCCACTTTCATTATCAACATTCTTAGGTCTTAAAGTTGGTTCTGTTACAAGTGAACACAAGGAAATAGAGCAGGCCAGGGGTGGATGGATTTAGGGAGAATGCAAGAGCAAGCAGACACAATGACTGACCTAGAAAACAATGTGTTGGCACAGAAGCAGCATTAAGAATCCTGCAAATATGGGATTATGCCTATTAAAGTGACATTAAACCCTCAGATTTTTTAACATAAAATAATACTGTAATGTGTGCCTTACTGTAATCCATGGTTGTTTCCCTTCTCTTTGCTGCTCTTTGCTGTATCTCTTCTCATGCTGGGCAGAACTTCTGTTTTGCAGCAGACTGCCTTGTCTCTGGAATGGATACATGGTGTCTGTGTGTAGGTTCACAACCTGAGCCAGCACTACAGGAAGAGGCAGTCAGCTGCAAAGGGAAGTTCTCCCCAAGCATGAGAAGAGATACAGATTTAAAAGGAAGAGCAGCAAAGAAGGGAAACTACCATGGATTACAGTAAGGCACACATTACAGTATTGGTTTATGTTAAATAATCTGAGGATTTAATGTCACTTTAATTCTCCCCATCTCCCATCAAGCACTTTTCTGGTGGAACCAGAGAGTACTAAGCTAGCATTTTTGTTTGAAGGTGAAGAGAAAGCACATTCATGATTGGTTTCCAAAGGAGGAAGGAGAGAGCAACAGCTCCTTTCCCAATAAAGGAAATCCAAGTAGAACATGTACTCCAGCGCCACCGCAATAAATGTCAAGTGGCAGAACACAAAGCATACCCTTTTTTGGTAGAAGAGTTAAACAATAAACATTAGAATAATGCAGATTTAATAATGTTTCCTACTCCTTTAGTGGAGTATGAAGCAACTTCAACTTTGCTGACTGACAGGAAACCTAAATAAAAAGTCAACCTACTCACATTGTCTTGCGTCCCCATGTCTGGTTTGTGCCAAGTTTCAATTTTAATGAAAAAGTCTTCTTTCATATACTCATTCTAAGAAAACAAAAATGCAATACAATTAACCTGCAGAACCATTAAAATACATTTCCAACACACAGACTTCACAGGAGATCCAATCTAAGCAAGGAGACAACAGCGGGAGTGTGAAATAAGTCTAAAGATGGCCGTCATAAGGACTGTTGGAGTATTATAAAAGGGGAATTTATCGAAACTGAAGCAGACATAATCTAGAGCAGTTGCCCATGGCAACCAGTCAGCTACTCTCTTCAGTTTGTTCAGTTAAGATTTGAAAATTCAGAGTTAAGCTAAGCTGATTGGTTGCCATGCACAGCTGCTCCAGATTTTGTCTGCTCCAGGTTTGATAAATCCCCCTTCCATGACATTTATTTCCTTCCGAATATAAAACATTCATACAAGTACATGCTGCCTACACAGACTTGCTGTATTCATATTATTATGACTGCTGACATACAGAGGGCTGTCTGCAGCCAGATGGAAGCCACCTTTTCTTTACTTGCATTCACATCCTGAAGATATAGTGTGCTGGCCCCTACCAAGGTTTTTGTTAGCATGCTTTTAATATAAGTTACTATAAAAATGTCATATGTTACAATATAGGTGCTCAAGAAAATCTGTTATTTTAACTATATTCTATTGTTGATATTTTGCACCAGGGGGACAGACAAACCTTTATTCCCAGTATCTCTATTCTGTACACCTTAGCTTCTTTTCAAAACATAATGAATAAACCTATTGCAAATTAAATGATCATCTTAAAAATTATCACCCTATCTGTACACTACGGCCATCAGAAGGAAATATTTACATGGTTTTAACAAGTGGTCACATTTAAAAAAAAAACTTTTTACAGTGCTTATGTTACAACACATAACATGGGGTACACCAAGTGTTATGGAAATTCACTTGGTTCAACGCACAAATCCATGTCGCATTAAGCTGCGCCAAACGCAAAGAATTTCCCCCGTTAGACTGGAAGTATCCCCTTGCACAGAGTCATGTAGAGTCAGGAGACAGATGCTGCTTGCTAGATAATCCCATGCTTAGAGACCTGAGCGCAGGTATGTTTATTGTTTATACCTGCCCAACAGGAAGTGATGTCAGAAAGGAAGGGGTGTCTCAAACAGCGAGACAGGAAGTGATGTCAGACAGAAAGGGGTGTCTCAAAACAGCAAGACAGGAAGTGATGGAAAAACCAACAGATGATTTCAACAACCAGCAAATCAGGAAGTGATGTTAACAAGCACTTCCTCAATACATAGCCAGTATACAAAACACCTTAGTAGAACAATCACATGTAGTAGAATAATCTATCACCACCGGAGTGACTTTATCCAGCTTTGCTCAGTGATCAATGCCACATAACGTTACTATGATTCTCATGCGCGCTCATTCACAGGGATAACGTTATATTATCTCAAGCGTGTTGATCAGGCACACCAGAGAGAACAAACGTACGTTCCTTTCATATACTGCGTTCCAAACAAATGTATCCACGCAAGCCAATAAACCCATGCATTGCACGGGGGGCCCCAGCCGGCGTCCATACATTCGCCAAGAAGACACTGCTCCGCCGCGCATAAGATATCTCCTCCAATGGATTAACCTCCAGCGTCTATTTAAACCGAGACACTGAGAGACTAATGACAAAACATTACAATACACTAAAAAACATATCCTAGTAAAATTTCCACAACACAAGGAAAAGAGAATGAAGCAATTCTGGTACATTGGGTTATGCTGCTGCATTCAGGAGATTGGACACTCGCAAACAAAGCTGTAAGACTCATCCCACCTTTCACCAGTCTCCAGTTTTGTAGCAAAGCAATAGTAGTAGTGGATAATAAGAACAGAGGGGCTGAGCCTGTGTCCTCTAAACTATTCCAAGAAAAAGGATTTCACAGCAAGTCGAAAATCTTATTTTCTTAATCATACATTGAAAAGGGACAGAATAAGGCCTTAAGTCTCATAAAAAATGTTGTTTGTATCAAAAAGACATGGTTCTCTACAAGTTAAGGTAGCCAACTAAAACTCACTTTGCAGAGCTGATAATGAGGAACACCTATCATTCAAGACCTAGGCTTCAACAGGCAGGACATTGAAGCCAACGATAAAGAATAAGGATGGTAAACCGGTCCTTTGTACAGAGGATCTGAATGATCTGGGAGGGTCCACAGAAAGTCTGCCAGAAGTCTGATGAGGACAGAGTACAACATCCTCCTGGGCCAGTTCAGTACAATGAGAATTACTAGAATGCCCTCCAACTTGATCCTATGGGGCAGCCGAGGAAAGGCATAGATCAGGTTGAATCAAGCTAGAGGATCCCTGGATCTGGAGACAAAGTTGCTCAGTTTGTTGTTGGACCTGGAAGCGAGGAGATCCACGTCTGGTGTCATCCACATGCTACAGATGTCTTGAAATACCTTGATGGTTAGGAGACCTTCTCCCAAGTTCAGACCGTGATGACTGAGGAAGTTCACTGGTCATTTTTCTATGAATGAGATGTGCATAGCAGACTGGGTTGGGACATGAAGTTCTGCACAAGCCAGAATCTGATCGGCTTCTTTTTAAACTGCGAGACTTCTAGTTGTTATCTAATGGTTGACATAAGCCATTGCCATCATGGGGAAGTTAGCATGTTTGACAAAATGAAGGAGGTTGGAAATTAAAACTCTAGCCTGTAGCCCATAAAAACCATGTTTTGGGTCAAGTATCTGAAATGTCCTGGGACCAGGTGGCTGCAAATGGCAACAGACGTCCCCCCCACTCTGACAAGCGGGGGCATCCTCCTAATTGCGAGGACAACTTGCTCAAAGATTCGGAAGTTCGCAGATGTACCGAAAGGAGACCTATGCTGGATATTGAGAGTAGACTATTCGCTAGCCCATCATCACAATAGAGTACCCCCTCCATTGAATTGAACTCCAATTGTTGTAGGACAGAAGGATCAGTTAGGATAGATCCAGTAACCCAAGCCTCGGACTAGATGGCCAAGGTCTGGCGAAGGGACATGGTCACGATTGCAAGTGAAATTTCTTGACTGTCCCTGTAGGGGCTATCCCAGTGTTTACAGTCTTGTTAAGACAAAGGCAAAGGCAAATGGCCTTATCCACTAGAGGGACAACCCACTTTTTAAGGAATCTCTCCTTAACAGGATATTGCTGTGCAAAGCACTTTGGAGGCGTAAACACCTCATCTGGATTAGGCTAATCACCATAAAAAAAAAACAGGCTGCACTAGAGTGCATGGGAAAGGCTTTAAACAGGGCTGGGGACTTTTAAGAGAACCCAAGCTGGTAACTTTAGGCATAGCCGACATAGGTTGTTCTAAATCTAAACACTTGCGTACTGCATCAGTAAAGACCGCAATTATATCCTTATGTTTAGCAGTTATGTCAGCGGACAGAAGCCTCGTGTACCAATGCCTCAAACAAGGTCAGGCCATTTTCCTCTTCATCCTTAGATTACTATGTAGAAGCAGTTGCAGCCATAAGAGACTCAGAGAGACTCTGGAGGATAGGGCATGAGTCTGCCAAGATAGCTGAGGTTTTCACCTTAGACCAGTGGCGTAACAATCACCATAGCGACCCAATGAGAGCCAGCAGCAGCGGGGGAGCAGGCTGGACCCGGTGTTCTATCAACGTCGCGAGCCTCCGACGTCACCGGTAGTGGAGGAGGCGGGCCCGGCCAACGGAGGAGGTAAGGAGTGCGACCAACCCACCTGAAGGTGACCCTGCAGAGCCCACCATAAAGATTCTATGGTGGGCTCTGCAGGGTCACCCTCAGGTGGGATCTCGAGTGGGCTCTGCAAGGGGTATAACTAGAAATCACGGGGCCCCATACAAAATGTTGCTATGTGGCCCTGTGATTTCTGGTTACGCCCCTGCCTTAGACGCAGATATAATAGCACAGAATTCCTCCCTGTACAAAACAGAGGCGGGAGCCAAGTTTAAAGAAGCTAAAAGGAGGATTCTGAGGAGGACTGCGACTCAAACAGTGGGACAGTGATCTGGGCTACCAGTGTAAGATCACTTAGGGGGTACACTGCAAGCCACCCACAGGACTGGTATTGGTTAATAAGCTGGTAAAGCCTCCAGAATCTCTGCCATACCAAATATTCAAGTGAGTGATTTCCCATAAGGGGTTCTCCTAAAAACATTACTGGAGCAAGAAGGTTTAATGCTGTCCGTGCCCAAGTCATTGTAAGGCAGCAGGGAGTCAAAGGTAAATGTCAGACGATGGTAGGAAAACAAAGAGGTCCACATGCACCTGAAAATGGCTCAAACATGCAGAGACAACCAGGAAACAGCCAGCACAGATATGGCAGTGCCCAAGGGCTTGCACAGAATCCGTAAGATCCATTATCCGTTCTCCTAGAACACTAGCTAACTGGAGCATGATGGAAGAGGGATGGGTTATACTAGACCAGGGGTAGCCAAACTCTGGCTCTCCAGCTGTGGTGGAACTACAAATCCCATGAGACATTGCAAGATTCTCACAGCCACAAACATGACTCCCGGAGAGAGCTGCATCATGGGATTTGTAGTTTCACCACAGCTGGAGGGCCGGAGTTTGGCTACCCCTATATAGACTGTCTCAAAGCTTTGTTTGCGACTGTCCAATCTCCTGAAGGTAGCAACATTACCAAAATTATCTCATCCTGTGCCCTTCAATGTATGATTCAGAAATTGAATTTTAGTTTTAAAAATGCTCACACAGTTCACATAATGTACACACACCATTTTAATTTTTGTTTAGAAGGAAATAAACTGGTAGGTACTCACCGTTACAACTGGAAAATAATCAGTTGGAATATACACAGTGGGGAGGGGGAAAAAAAAAAAAAGAACATATGTCATTATTTCATACCATACTGGTTACAGTTTAAGCCTAAAGAAAAAAAAAAAGTGATATTTCATAATCAGTAGCTTTTGGCACAGAGCTTTCAGAGCAGTGCTGCCTTTCAGCGCCAACAGTTAGGGTACCAAATTAGGTAAGCAAGGTAATTTAGGATTAATTTATTGTTAGAGATTAAGTTAAGGGTTATTTGCTAGTAAATCATTTCTAAAGCAATATAAGGGGCTGCTATTGCTCATCTCCTCCTGAAAATGCTAATCGCCTGGGCATTGAGCAGGCCGCCTGGCTTCAGTTCTTTTCTGAGTCACCAATCCAGAGAGTATGGAAATCAGTGATGTCATACTACAGCTAGAAGACTTCATCAGCCCTTTTATTCTAGGTTAGTGATAAAGTCTTGTACAGATGAGATCTACATCTAAGAAATAGTAAGCTGAAATACAACAGTAAGGTAGGAACATACATATAGATATCTCTATCTCTCTAGATATATCTATCTCTCTAGATATATCTATCTCTCTAGATATATCTATCTCTCTAGATATATCTATCTCTGGAGAGATAGAGAGAGAGAGATAGAGATAGAGAGAGAGATAGATAGAGAGAGAGATAGAGAGAGAGATAGAGAGAGAGAGAGATAGAGAGAGAGAGAGATAGATAGAGAGAGAGATAGAGAGAGAGATAGAGAGAGAGAGAGATAGAGAGAGAGATAGAGAGAGAGATAGAGAGAGAGATAGAGAGAGAGAGAGATAGATACTGAAATATAATTTTCAGACCGAAACCAAAGATAATTTTCTCAGGCCGAAACAGAAAATTACTTTTTTCCAATCTTTTTAAAAATTTTAAATTATTTAAATTTTTCTTTTTTTAACTTTACTTTTAGGGTCTCTAGGGAAATATTAGGGGTCTAAACAGACCCTTTGAAATTTGCCTTTTAAAATAGAAAGAAATTGAGAATCTTTTTTTTGGGCAGCTCCTGTTATGAATGAACAGTAAGCCTCTATACCGAGTGCTCCTGCCCATTCATAAGCAGTGGAGATAGTATCAGTTACCATATCCACAATCATGAATGAACAGGAAGTAATGTAGAGCACTTCTTATTCATTCATAACTGGGGACACAGTAAGCACACTAAAGTCATTTAAACAGATTGAGCAATGAAGATCACCAGTACACAAGGAGTGGAATAAATCCAGGTGTTCTTTTATTCAAAAAAAAGCATGCCACAAGTGTTTAAGGAGCCAACATTTCAGAACCACACAGGGTTCCTTCATTAGGGCAAACAGTGCTGTTTCACCCTTTCCACTCTACTCCTGGGTTGAGGCAATCCCACCAGTGGCATTGCTAATGATGGTATCAAGAGCAGGTCCGAGGAGGCGGGTTCCTTCAAAAGACAAACAGGTAAAATGCTCTTTGGTGTCCCAAGCATGTAGCCAAAGTGCCCTATACATGTGAACGGACATCAGTAATCTGTGAGAAACAAGCTTATATGCTTGCAACAGACTGTCACAGCAAAAACATCAAGCTCCAGAAATTTGTTCCAAACGGTCAATAAAACATTTGATTACCCTTGGCAAATGGAAAGGTCCTCTTCAAAAGATGTAACCCCTAGTGACAGTTTCACTAATCAAAGTAAATCACCAATACAAGGAAAAAGAGTCACAGCATCTATGCTGGGGAGACTAAGCAATGAATCCCCTATGAAAGGAGAAAAGCTCTTGCACATTGTCTGGAGGGGCCTCCAGGGAGTTTCCACTCATCAGAGGAATAGCTTAAACAGAGGGTGTAACAGAAGGTTATTTTCAGCTATGAGAGCTCTAAAAGACCCTAGGTGTAAAGGAGCAGGCTGATCCTCTAAATGCAGGGTAGTCCTTACTTCATCCACCAGGTTAGCAACCACCCTTTGAAAATATGAGTCGTTCAAAAATGTAGACTGTTGGGATTCTGAATCTGAAATTATAAACAGGGGTCCTGGGCATCTTTTGAGTTGAAAAACCAGAAGGGTCAGAGGCTCTACGCATAAACTGCTCTAATATTTTGGCACAAATAGACAAACAGTCCACAGTGCACACGAAGGCCTTGAGGAAAGCTTTGGTTTCACCCAACAGAGCTAAACAAGCCTCCAATGTGAATGGAATAGGAATAATAATAATAATAATAATAGTGGATGTAGATTGCAGGCATTGGTTCTTTTTGAGGAAACCAGGTAAACGCCCCCAAAACCAGTAGGAGAGTATTTGATGAGGACACTTGTAGCAGCAGGATTGTCCGAGGTGACCAAATCACTGTATGCAGGAAGTGGAATGAGACCGATGATCCACATGTTGCTTCAAGAGCAGGAGAAGAATGATGCTTGTTCTAGACAAAATGACAAGTAAAAGAGCATGGGGCACACATACAACACTTCATCTAGCAGAAGATGTCCTCTCAGCTTTCTCTCTCTTATGACCTCTTTAAAGAGGGATATTTGAAAAGTGTGCAAATTGTGACATAGCTCCTGATGTTTCAACTGGAACAGCCTAATTCACTAAGTGAGACCCAAGAGGCTGGGGCACAGAGGCTATGCCAAGGATCTGGACCCAGAAAGTGCTTTGTGGCTATCGAACAGTACACAAAAGTCCAGAAAGCTCCACAATGCAAAGCCAAGCACTCGAAGGGCAAATACCAGCCTAGCTACACAATCTTCTAGCCCAGCAGGGGCAGAATATAGCTTTCAAAGTTGATAGCTGCAAAGAAAAGACTAGTTCAAGTAGCAAAGTGCAAATTAGTGGAAGGGAAAAAAAATATTAACCACTTCAAGGTGTTTAGACCCCCTTCCTGGCCAGGCCATTTTTCAGTATTCAGCGCTGAGGTACTTTGATTGACGTATATTAATGGGGCATCGCTGCCTGTTTTCAAATATCGGGCATTTCCCGTGCGCGCCATGAGGGGACGTGGCTGAGCGGACGTCTAAAGACGCCGGCTCAGATCTAGAGAGCTCCTGGCCGGTCGTTTTTTTACAACGGCCGGCAAGTGGTTAAAAAAGGTGCATCAAGAATCTGGTCTGATGTCAATAAAGAAGAAATTATAACAAATAAAAAATAAAGTCAACAAAAATAGAATTAAACTTTTTTTCAACACATTTGAGGAAAAGGCGTCCAACCTCCTCAGACACTAGGAAAAAAAACAGACCAGAGGCAGGGCTGCCTTAACTTTTTTTGTTTTCCAGTGTCCCAAACTCCAGTAGGAAGCCGCATAACCTGACTTTCAGTATTCCTGTGACCCTCAAAAAGAAAAAAAAAGACAATTTTTTAGGTGGAAATCAGTCAGAGTGATTGTTGAGTTAACCAACACATGCTGATAAAGTTGACCTCTAGACATCAATGACTCCTGGGCACAAAAGGGTTACTCATTTGCATATAAGGCCATATCAAATGAATTTAACATGGCTTTGTGTAGCCGGCTCTATCAAGCCGCATGTCCTACTATTTGTACCGAACTACATGTCCTGCAGCCAAATGTCTGCAAGAGAGGACCAAGCAACCAAAAGCATAAGAGGGTTGTGCACCTCAGCTCAATAGCTATACATTAAATGACTTGCAACTTCATCTGAATAATAGCTTTGCTTTAGCTTTTCTCCTATATTAGAAATAATCTGCTTATAACACCAGATGCATTAAACCTAAAAAAAAAACATTATACAAATAATCTTCGCTTTTTACATCCCCTAGATTAGGACCCCCATACATATAATATGAATAGGTTCTAAAGATAATGAAAGCCGAATTCTGCCAAGCAGTATCTGTTAAACGGACACAAGGTTCAGTTAATATATTAGATATGAAACAAGCCTTCCTGTGAGAGCAAAGTATGCTTTATGGCATAACAGTGCTTTGGTCAGAAAACATGCAGAAGACCAAACGTTTCATCCTGCTAAGAGCTGAACCAGGAAAAAAAGAAAGCCAAGTTCTCATGCAAGCCTTTATGAACGGGTTGTTCTGTTTAAGCTGCACTGGAAGTTAACATGCTGCTGTGCAGGGAGTGGGCACAGGCACAGCTTTCTCTGGTACTTGTTACCAAACAGTAAATCAGCAGCTCGAACATGACTAGGGAACAAAGTATAAAGGGCTAAAGAACAACTGCAGTCTAAGGCCCCATTCACACTGAGCGACATACCTTTTGGAGCGGATCCGCACGGCCGGGATAGCACGACTTTGGTGGCGACGTTCCAGCGACGATAGCGCGACCTTCACCGTTGGGCAGCATTGAAAAATTACGCGACATCCGCTGAAAAAAGGGTCCTGCAGGCGCGACTTGCGACCGCGACATGGAGCTGTACATTAAAACAGCTCCATTGAAAATCATTGGCCGGCGACTTCATGCGATATCGCGCGGCAATCCGCTTAGTGTGAATGGGGCCTTAATGAAACATGTTTGCAGAATTCTGAATTGTAGCACTTTCTGGATCAATAATAGAATAATAATTCTCACAACGCTTTTAAGGCTGCAAGTATGAATAAATACTTCATCCTGGTAATATGTAAACCAGACCAGCAGCATTTTTTTCCTGCGCCTAACCCAATCACTAACAGCTATGACAGGCTGGGTCTAGGTGTGGCCATGTTTTGTTTGGTTTTTCCTTTAACTTTTAGAGGTATGGGGAAACCACATACAGAGATATGGTTGTTTTTTTCTGAAATTCAGCCAAAGTTATGCTATGTGGCCAGTTTAGACTGAAGTAGTGCTTGGTAGAGTTTTTCAGAATATTAACAAGACCTTATCTTAAACACAGTATCTTCTTTAAAAGAACTCCAGTAGCCATATGGGATCTGCCCTTTCCGACTAATTGAAGGTGTCATCTCAAATGTTGTGATCCTTAAGGCCTATGTTGGCGGCATCAGTTTGAGATGCTCCTGAGACCATTCAGAATTGACAGGCACATAAGACCTTTATCTGACTTCTTTCTGATCTGGATTTCACCTGCTTCAAATGGGTTTTACCCTCCTATAGGAATGCAAAACCTGCTCGAAGGGAGCGACAGCTGTTCACACGGACCCTTATTCAGATCGAGAAGGAGGACAGAAAATGTTCATCAGTTACTAAAATTCATCCAAGAGTGTTTGTGATAAAATGGCTGCACCTTCAGTGACATGCTTTCTTTGCCAAGCTTGCAAAAAAGTCTTACACAATTTCCTATGATGTAAAAAATTGAAATCATCATAAGCTGCTTACTTGTTCTACAGTAAGGATAAGCATTCCATGCTTTTTCATGAAACACCAGGGATCCCTCCGGAGCAAACAACTTTACAAAACCAGGGACTTTACTGAAAAAGAAAAACCAGATATTAACATACAACAAGAAAACTCTTTGATCAAGGGATGTTCAGATACCAGTGCCGATACTTGGCATTTTCATGAGAACTACAAGGGTTGCAGCTGGGACCTGACTGACGCTCCACCACTGTCCTGAAATCATTAGTCTGTATTGGTTTAGAAAAACTGTCACATGTCAATAAACAAAAATGTATCAGTACTTGTACCTGTGAGTACTTGGACAAGTATCAGTACTTAGAAAAATGGTGTCGGTACATCCCTAAAATATAGTTATGAAAAAAAAGAAGCATACAATAAAACAGAGATGTAAAAGTCCCAGGAGCTCCGTGTGCTCCTTAAAAATGACAGCTGCCTCCCAATTTTTTAGTTTTTCTCTGATCTAGTCTTGGAGCTGGAAAAGTATCTCTAAAAGTACCAAGTGCAGGACTTGGTATCTGAACATCCCTACTTTGATTATATTTGAAAACACCAATGCTTACTTTGAGAATAGGACATCCAAAAAAAATACAGCAAGTCCAGTTGCCTTTTTTTTTAACAGAAGACATTTCACTGGTCATCCAACCAGCTTTCTTGATTCAGAATGACTTGCACAAAAATTCTCTGGGAATAAATATGGTGAATATTGCTCCAATCCACATAATCTGTTAGTCGCAACCAGGTGTTGATTGCATTTGCATAATTGGAGTCTAGGATGTGTTATTAACGTGCCCAGAGAGGTGTTAAAACAGCATTGTATGTGGCAGACAATAGATGTCTCCCCCACACCTCTATTCAAGCTTGGCTTCTCCATTGTTACATAAATGGCCTCTTTCACATCTCTTTTAAACCAGTCTTCAAAGGAGTGACCTTTTTCCTTTACATGTAGGTACACTGCCGAATCCTGACCAGAGGGTTTTGCTCTTCCATGCTGTGCCATACGCTGGTGTAGCTGCTGTTTTGTTTCACCGACACACCTCTCTCTGGGCAGAGTAATAACACCTCCTAGCTCCAATTATGCAAATGCAATCAACACCTGGTTGCGACTAACAGATTATGTGGATTGGAGAGACATTCACCATATTTATTCCCTGAGAATTTTTTGTACAAGTCATTCTGAATTGAAAAAGCTGGTTAGATGACCAGGGAAACATCTTCAAGAAAAATACAGCAAGTCCAGTTGCCTCTGCATTTTTTTTTTACAGATATACCATGACCTGGATGAATGAGAACCTTCACAGACATATTGAGAATAGGAGCAAATAAAGCTTCCCACAAAATACCAAACATCCCGCAGATCAGATACCAGACAATACAAGAGAATTGGTCACTATGTGCAAATTCTCCAATACTGAAAACTTTTTTTCTTTTAGCTTTAAAACATATTCCTGAAATCTGTCAGTTAAGTACAATTTCTTTTTTTACAGAGGTTCACTAGTCTTACGTTATCAGAAAGTCCATTCCATCCCCATAAACCCTTCGTGAACTTCATGATCGAAAATCTCACCTCTTCAAGTGGTAGATTTTGTGTGTGTATTGACCTTTTTCCCCATCTTTTTCATACGGCTCATTTTTCAAGACCTCAATACCTTCACCACCACCAGTTTCATTTTTGCTTGCTTCAGCCACAGAATAAAGCTGGCCAACCTGATACTAATGAAACAAACATTGAAACATGTTAACGTCAAGAACATAGTAAACTAATAGCATTGAGTGACAAGAGAAAGACAGATTACTGTGATTAAAAATAAACAATAAAAGGTGATCAGCGCCAGTAAGTTGAATGTGGAAAGAAGAGCTACCAAGCACTAAGGATATATCTAAATATCTGAAAAATGTGAAAAACAATATTGTGCCAAGCTAATAATCATACATATCTAATAAATTGAAACATATATAAGTGAGTCACATATATGAGCCTTCAAACAAATGAGGCATAGAAAATATCTACACACAGACAAAAAAGCAATATAGACAAAAAGTCTCAAGGAAAAAACAAAAGCAAAAACAGTGGTGATTGTGCAAAAAAAAATCCTCAGATGATTCTCAGCCAATCTGCATATAACTCTCAGGTAAGGATAATCACACAATGCAGGCAGACCTTCACCTCCACCCAGTGAGTGATGACAACAAGTGAGTGCTCACCTGGGGAGGTAGACCTACAGAGCTAGGTCAAATGCGCTTTTTCCCTTCTTAATGGGGGAGGGAAGCCCATGCACAGAAAAGGCGATAAGGTCTCTTCAGATCACAGGTACCAGTATAAATCCAGGTGGAAAGAGAAAAAGGACAAGGACATAGTGCGTAACATCCAATAAAATGCAATTTATTAAATAAAAAATGCGTACTCACAATGGTGTAAACAGTACAGGCATTGGGTATTGCTGGATCAGACCAGCAGGGCAAATGGCAGCAAAGCGATAAAAAAACCTGATCGTCCAGCTCAGCTCAGTGCAATGACATCAGAAGCTCTGCCCTACGTACGTTACGTCAAAACACGTGACTTCATCAGGACCCCTGATGATTATTAGCTCGGCACGATATTGTTTTTCAGATTACTGCAATTATATTTTTTAGATATTAAAATGGACTTCCATCTCAAAATTCAGGTCTTATTTTAAAAGGAGGACTATGGGGGTAAGTGTTTTTCCCCATAGTTCTAACGGTCACGGGAGGACATAAACTAGCATCCTCCTGTGACCCGAAGCTCAGTATATCGCGAGCTACAGCTCGCGGTATACTGAGACAGCCGCAGCCGGGACGGATCCCGACATTACTGTCGAGATCCACCCAGCTGCGTGAGTGACAGCAGGCTCTGCCTATCTAGAGGAAGAGCCAGCTGTACCCGCCCCCTCCACCGCTCGTTCTGCCAGTCAGCGCTGGAAGATCGGAGAGGGGGGCAATCCCGGCAGGGAGCGGTGGCTGACTTTTCACAGCTCTCTACAGGGACAGGATCAAAAAGTGAGCAAGCGACGCTCACTTCCCGATCTATTGAGCCGATGTGCGACAGTTTCATTGTCACACGTCAACTCGAATTATAAGGTTGAGTGATTTTCACTCACCTCATAGTTCTTCTTTAAGCAATCTTGGAGGGTAAGGCTAGGGAATTAGAAGTAGTATACAATAAAAATCCCCTGTTCACCATTAAAGTGTATGCAAGGGCAAAAAAAAACTAATTTCAATACATCCCTGAAGTACATGCACAGATCTCATGTTTTATGTCTTTAAAAAAGGGCCATTCCACTTTCCCAGGTGAATTTGGGAAAATGGAATTATCCCACCCCCACTATACTTACCTTTCGGTGAATGCTCCTTCCCCTCCGCCGGTGCATTATCCATACCTAGTACTGCCATCTAGCCCTGCACTGTGGATTTTGAAATTTGCTCGCAAATGGCTAGCACTCATTGGTCAGCACAGTCACCTGACAGCGCTGACCAATGAGAAGCTCTCCTTAACAAGAAGCAGTCCTAGAGAGGAACTGAGAGGGCTGATTAGACCTACTTAAAAGAGAACTATGGGGTAAGTGTTTCCCCACAGTTCTCTTTAGGGTCACGAGAGGACATATACTAACCTCCTCCCGTGACCCAAAGCTCAGTATACAGCGGGCTATTGCCTGCTATATACTGAGAGCGCCGCAGCCAGAACGGATTCCGACAATACTGTCTGGGTCCACCCAGTTGTGTCAGTGACAGCAGGCTCTGCCTATCTAGAGGCAGAGCCAGCTGTGCCCGCCCCCTCCACAGTCACCGCTCACTGCAGGGAGACGATTGGAAAGTGAACAGATTGGAAAGTGAGCAGAAACATGCAGCCAATCAATAGAGCCGACCTGTGACAACGTCCTTTAAGTGTGGTATTTACTTAATTTTTATTTATCTGATTAATCCAAAGAAAAAAATTTCGGCCAACTAATCGATTATGAAAATAATCATTAGTTGCAGCCCTAATTGGGTCTACAGGAAAGTTGGAGATTTCAAAAAGTCAATACTTTGATGAAACGAGTATAAGGAATAAAGAGTGCATCCTATGTAGAGCCAGTCTGATCAATCTTTTGACAGAATTTGACTCCAGTTCACTCCGACCTCCTATGATTTAGAGGCCATACTATCTGGGAAGTTGCTCAGTTCAATACTTGGTGGTGGTGCTGATCACAATATGGGGAAATGTGAATGACTCACTGAAGACTGAAGATTTAGTCAACTTTGAATCCCGCTCTGGTGTTTATAAATGTATTTAGACGGTTTATAGTACCTCATGCATTTTATATTACATGTTTAATGTGGTTGTGTATGGCATTTTAAGTGTGCTGCATTACATGGTATTGAGGAAAAGCGCAGGTTTAGCTACTTTGTGCATCATAGAATAGTAACATTTTTATTTTAGCAAATTACTGGCTTCAACTTTTCACAGTCTTTGTTGCATCTCATCACTGCTCATCTCCTGGGGCTTTTTTTTGCAGCCGCTTTCTATCTACATTTTTTCCCTCCAGTTATAGCTCCATCGTATTTCCCATTGGAAACCCGAGTGACAGATCGACAACATTGGAGTGCAACTGGGAGAAAGGGAGAGAGTGTTGTCACCTTAGCATAGGAAGTGTCTACATAAGAACCTTTAAGGCAGGTTCACCATGTTATTACAAATGTAAAAATATTTGAAAATGATTTTGAAATGAGACTAACGTTTATACGAGATAAAAGGACTGGGTTTACATAAACTTTAATTAACCACTCCCCGGCCGGCGAAAAAAAACGGCCGGCCAGGAGCTATCTAGATCTGAGCGGGCGTCTTTAGACGTCCGCTCAGCCTTGCCCCCTCGCCCGCACCGCTGGGCGGCACGTGGAGGTAGGGGTAGAGCTGCAGAGACAGAGCCGATGTGCATGAGCATATAATCATGAGCGTGCAGTGGCTGAAAAGAGCTGTTGATCACAGGGAGGAGAGACCAGTGAGGTAATTCTCCTTTAAGCACTCCAAATAATGATATAAAACTACTAGTACTGTATAAATGCAAAACAAAAAACAGATTTAACAGCTGCCTCATCCGGAGTTTCCTGTGCCCTAAATAGCGAAGACCAGCTGCAGACATGGGACAGGCAGCCGTTACGATAGAAAGTATAATGCAGAGAAATCCACAAATGATTGCCTAATGGTTGCCTGAAATTTTGAATACTAGTGCATCCGTGACAATTAGCTTAAGCGCAAAATCTCAGATACACTCCAAAATTGGATCCTAAAGTGACACTAAACTCAGGCGTTAAATCTTAAAAATACATTCAATTATCTTAACTGTTAACACAAATGTATCTTATTTGTGTATCACTCAGCACCAATTCAGAGATGATTTGAGGATCTACAGCCGACACTGTCCTTCCTTCTGGAGGGTGGCTACTTTTGTTCCCCATGGTCCCCGTGTGTGTGTTGTAAAAGTAGCCACTGCTCCAAACTCGCTCCCGTGATGGACTGCAATCTCAATACAAATTAGTAAACTAAATGTGAGACTGTAGTCCATCACAGGAGCGAGTTTGGGGCAGTAGCTACTTTTACAACACACATACAGGGACCATGGGGAACAAAAGTAGGCACCCTCCAGAAGGAAGGACAGTGTCAGCACCAATTCAGAGATGATTTGAGGATCTACAACAGTGTCATGTACAAATTAGCCACATTTTTGTTAATAGGGTACTGGAATGCATTGTTAAGATTTAAATCCTGAGTTCAGGGTAACTTTAAGGGCATATATGAATGCTTATGAACCATATGCCTGAACAATAGTATTCTGATGAATCTGCTATAGATAGTAAACTTTGTACAGTATATAGAGGAATAGTTAATTGCTCATTCATAACACAGAGTTAAGCCCAGGGGGACATAAAATACAGCATACTGCAGTTTAAGTGCAGTCACAGTAGTTAGAAGACTAAAGCTGGCCAGACACAGCACAATGTCTCATGTTCAGTCCTGGAGCTGAACGAGAGAAAGTCAATCACACCACTTATAGAATGTAGTCCCGTTCGCCAATAATTTCCCTATCAGCTACGGGTGGTGCTTACAGGGCCACCCACAGCTAAAATGTTGTCCGATTCAGAAGCAACTCCAAACTGTGTATGGGAGGAGAGCTTTACCAACTCAGAATAATTAATCTGCGTAGCTCCCTCTAAGTGTGAAAACTGCAGTTCTATGGGAGTTTTCATAGCTGAAATCAGAACAGTCAAAGTCTGAAAAACAAAAAACACAATACACGAAACGTACCCACAATAAAAATGAAAGGTGGAGAGGTGGAAGAATAACTTACCTCTTCTACGGAGCATGGCAAAACTACTCGACTGAAAAAGAGAAAGAAAATGATATCAGACATCAGAACTTCTATATGTGTGCTAACAAAGGAACAATTCTGACAGTGAACAGCTCGTCGGG